TGCAAAGTGCGCACGCTTGTCTTCTGGTCTTTTGACCTACTGCCGTTTTATTCGGCCCCATAAATTATATCCAGAGAGACGAATTCGCAGGAAAAGCTGCGCTTTAAAACTCGTGGAGAGGAAAATCGGTTGATCTTATTACAGGTAAACGCGCAAAAAGAAGCAATCTTGGAAATGTTGGTGGCGCATGCCATCAAGGCGAAAGTCAAACAAGGGAGAAAATCACGAGACGAAAACGGGTGGTACTTGTTGCGCTAACTGGTTACGATCGTTTCTTAAATCCGCAGGAACGATAGATTAATTTTAATCGAGTTTGCTGTACTGGCTGGTTGGAAAGAGACGACATGTTTCCGTGTTCCAGAAAGTGAAATTGCTTGTGAAAGTATCAGTTGTCGTTTCTCTATTTTTTTTTTTTGGAATCGTTTTTGAAGATTTAATCATTGATACGATTTTTTAATTGTTGTAATTATTCTTAATGAAAGATTAATGTATTAAGATTGGTAAAAATTTTTATATAGAAGTATAGAAATATATTGAAGTATAGAAAAATGAACAGTGGAAAAATTATTATTCATAAGTTTTTATAATATACAAGATTTCTCAATCATTCTCCAATATGTATAATTGGAAGAAAAGTTAAAATACTTTACAAGTATTTTGAAAAATGTTAGAAATAGTTTCGCAACTTAAATAAGATTCGATCCTTTTATGAGTAATTCGATCAAGAATTTTTTATTTTATGCAAACATATAATTATCGCAGTAATACGATATCTTTGTATATGGTATTTCATGGTTATAATAGTTAACTACAGTTATAATAGAATTACAAGTGAAATCAAAACTACATTGCATGTAATATGATATGTAATTTCTTGTCTTTCAAGGTTCTCTATTGATGTTACAAGATTGGATTCTTTCAAATGTAACTTAGAACTATTACATACTCGAATCCTACAAGAATCTAATTTTGATTTCGAAATTAACTTGTATAATCCTTATAATTTTAAAAACATCATCTCTCCCTTGAATAATAATCAAATTCTTTGAAGCACATTTTTTTTTTATATTTGAAATTGATCAAACCAGCACATACACAAGAAAATAAATACTATTGATGTTAATTAAGATTATCGTTTCATACAAGATTAATTCTTAATATTCTCTTTATTTAAAATATCATATCCAAAACGTATATGCAGATAATAAAGTTTTCTTTGAGAAAAGAGTTTCTGTTAAAAAAAATAAATTAAATCTCGAAGCACAGAGAGAGCCTTTCAACTTTACTTAAAAGTTAATGCATGTGTAATTTAAAAAAAAAATTCCGATATTCATACGTTATAAAAAAAAAAAAAAAGAAAAAAGATAGAACGTTCAAAGACACCAACTAATACATTGTCTAATTTCTCAGAATGCTCAGGATTTATTATATCACACCAACGATAACGATAAATGTCGCCTCGTATCATAACGCCTCAAATTCGACACGGTACGCGATAACCGTGTTAAATAGAAATGCGAAAGAGCAATTTCCCCAAGAGAACAAATTTCAGCGTGAGCACGATTTGCCAACATTTCGCCCGCAAATGCAAGAACAAGGTGCACACGGCGCGCTTATCATTGAGACACGTATAATTTTCTTAGAGCGCAGACGTGCTCCCGATAAACCCGCGACGGAATAATTTCTAACTGTACGGGCCTTATTCCATCGTTCCACCGTGCAATGCTCGCAGATTGTCCGAGTAACAAGCATTAATCGTAGGGAACCGGTACAACGAACGGTGCTTCGAATTTTTATCGTCGAACAAAAAGGGAGGGGAGATCTCGTACAACTTGGCCAACGAATGGAAAATTTTCTGTTCTGTTCCGTGTATTAAAATGGAAAAATGAAAATTACGTACGCGATGAGCGAGTTGCACGAAGCATTTTTAATAGCTTGTTTTATAATTGACGAGAGCTTGATTTTCATGGGGAAAATTTCTTTATTTCTATCTTTACAAAAAAGAAAAGGAGAAAAATAAAAACAGGGAATGGGTAAACAATGTTGCATAAAGTATTTTTAATATCGTTTTGAAATTGAGGAGGAGCTTCATTTTTATTATACTTTGTAGAACAGTGAGTAAAATTCTTGCAAAGATTTATTGAATGCAAAGAATTTTCCACTTTTGTACGAAAGGTAAAAAGGATTATGCGAAATATTTTAATATCGTTCCACAATTGATGAGAAATTAATTTTCGCTACACGTCACGCATATCCCTTTGTCATAAGAAGATAAAGATCTCTTTAACTTGTGAAACACGATTATATTGAAAATATGCGTAAACGATATCGTGATCGAATCGTTCATCTTCAAAAAAAAGACATTTTTAATCCTTTGAAGCTTTGTAAGAAGAAACACAGAATTGTAGCAAATAAGCATATTAATAGCGTTTTCCCTTTGCCATCTTTTTTAACTGATGAAAAAAAAAAAGAAATGAAAAATTAATCTGATAACCGTAATAAAGGAAATATTGAAAATATCCACGGATGATCGTGATCGAATCGTTCATCTTCAAAAAAAAGACAATATTAATCCTTTGAAGCTTTGTAAGAAGAAACACAGAATTGGAGCAAATAAGCATATTAATAGCGTTTTCCCTTTGCCATCTTTTTTAACTGATGAAAAAAAAAAAGAAATGAAAAATTAATCTGATAACCGTAATAAAGGAAATATTGAAAATATCCACGGATGATCGTGATCGAATCGTTCATCTTCGAAAGGACATTTCTCTGTTTTGAAGCTCTGTAGGAGGAGATGAGGAATTGCAGCTGTTAATTATGGTTATTATATTACGTCGTTTAAGTTTCACACGACGTGTCCAAGCTTTTGGTATTTCTAGCTTTCTCATAACGCTCATGATTCTTTCTTTATACTTTTATTCGACACAGTAGTGACTGAAATTGTAACGTAGATTTCTATCCGATGCTTTATTCTTTTTGAATGCTTTTATTCTTTTAAGACGCTTTGCACGTAACGCATTCGAAAATATTGCCAAGTTCTTGTTATATCAATTAAAATGGCACAAAGAATTTCGAATAATATTGGATATTATCTTTTTTTTCTTCTTATTTTTATTTATTTTATATTTGCAGAAATATTATGCTCAAAATAAAATATTATAGTAGATATTATATTTAGTTTATAGTATAACTTACATAGAATAGAAAATATGAATCTTTTGCATTTAAACTTGCGATATACATCATCTATCAATATCGAATTTTTGAAACGCATTAAAAATTTCCTGTACAAAGTCTTTTTTATAAAATTCGATTTTTAAAGGATTCATACAAACCCATGATAGAGATCTTTTATATTTTCTTGAAATTATCATTAAATTATAATTCCTTGAAATTACTTAAAAATAAAGAATCGCGATACATCTACATTTTTATCTATATTCTTTCTATCTATCTCCTTTCTTTTAACACCAAATAATTTAAAAAGCAAACTATTAATTAGCAAACTATTAAAAAGAAAACAATTTTTGTTTTCAGTTTTTTAAAAGTCACCAGTATCCTTTACCGAAGATACAATTTTTCGCTGGAATTATTAATAAACTTTTCTCAACTCAATTCGACAGCAATCGATTCATGGTATAATTTCAGAGACTATTTACAATTTATTGCTTACATTTTTATTAAATTATAAAATAATATATTGAAGTAGAAATAAAAAGAATCAAATGAAATTTATTCGTACGCAACAAAATTTCCTTTCAACTCATCGTATAAAATAAAATTACGGCGTGATTAAATATGTCCAGCCACTGCACGGCGACAAAAGTCGTAAACAGTGACAGTGAAACGGATCCTCGTATCGAGCATCGGGATCAGTAAAAGCGCACACTGTCTTTTTCCCCCCTCCCCCGATGGTCCCTCCTTCGACCGTGACGACTACTTACGTTTTGCTGCAAACCGCTTAAACCCTTTCACCGTCACCTATACTAACGCTTGCCGCATACGCTCTCTATCTTTGCCACATTGTTTAACAGCCTCGCTTCCCTGCCCACCTTGTGTGCCCACATCGCGTGTTGTTACTCGTTCCACCATCGAGCAACCCGAGTAATATACTCAATGGCAAATACCAAACGGAGTTACGAAATCATTTTGGCCTCCTTTTTTTTAATGGCTAATACGATCGTGCCCAAGCGAATCGTCTTTCTTCCATGTCACTAACTGTTCATGAAACACGATATACAAGTATACCAATTAATAATATCGATTGATTCACGCCTGTGTATACGTTTGATGAGATGCTTTTTTTTTTTCTTTTTTTTTTTTAAGAAGCATTGTTTGAAATAGCATTTCACGAAGTGAGGAATAAGATTGTATTAGTAGTAGTATATATATATATATATATATATATAATGGATCGATAGTAAAATTCATTTTTTTTTTTCATTATTTCAGTCTTATAAGCGAGATACATATTGGCGTGGATATTATTAAATAACAATGGTTTCGGTGGTTAATATTAATTATTATACGCACTTGCTAATTTTAACTCGATAATTATCTGCCAACGTAATCATTTAAGGATGTATTTAAATTTGAAAAAAAAAGGAAGAAAAGATTCGCCGATATTGGGGGATATTGAACGATATAAATGAGAAAAGTTGGCAGTTAATGCGGAATAAATGTTGCAGAAGTCGATGCAAATCGAAGTCTCCCTTCCCTTCATCACCATATCACAGTTTCGTCGAATCATGATCACGTGACTTAGATTTGCATACGTCTCTCTGGCAATCTGGTATTTTTCAGTCGCATGCAAATTCGGCTCGATACAACTATTGAAAACGAGATCAACATTGTATACAATCATTTACTTTTTAACGCTCGGAATATCATT